GCCATTGCCATACCACATTTGGGATGACAAATAAAAACAGGGAGTCCTAGGGTTGTACTTTTCTTTACCTACAACGGAAAAAAAAAAAAACTCTAGGAAGTTGAGAAGTCATCCTTTATGTTGAAATTTTTTTTCTCCCTTTCCTTGAGTTCTTGTATCATGAGATGTTGAAGCACTCTGTTTTCTTTCTCTTACCACCAAGCCAATGCCACTCTCTGTCACCAGATCGATATTTGAGACCCAATGATATTCCTCCAAAGTCTTTGATCCTTTGTTCCAAAGACCAATGGCTAGCCATAGCACATGAGCTCTCCTCTTTCTGGTTTCATTAGTTCTTCCAAAGACTTGTGACATCTCGAGAGATTCAATCTTTTCTTCATACAATGGCATGGGTTTGCAGTAGGCTCATTCCTCTGTCTCAACAAGTTAACAGTTTTGCACAACAGAACTTGTGATCATCAGCTATTCTTATTGGCATTGATCCTAGCCTCGGAAATCTCCTCCTTTAAGTTTGACATTCTCACATTCACAATGCTTTGAGTTTCTTTTGGAGTTTGTCATTCAATTTGAATAACTTAAGAGACTCCTTATACAACTTCTTCATAAGCTTGCTCAAGCTCTTCATTATCACTCTCCGCGGATTCATCATTAACCGATCTCTTTGAATCCATTATCACAAATCAAACAAGATCTCGTTCTAAAAGAATGTTTTTTTAAAAAAAAAATAGAACGACCCGCTCTGATACCAATTGAAAAACTAGAAATCCCCTAGATGTTGATTTGTGATTATGTATCAAATTTAAGCAGAATAAAACAATCCCAATCAAACAATCAAGACAAAGAGACACAACGATTTAACGTGGAAAAACCACAATTGGACACCTCCAACTGTGATCAAAAAACACGGGCAACAGGCACAAGAACAATCCACTAAGAAGATTTAAGGAATTACACAGGTATACTCTCAATTACCTAGCGAATCCACAACGCCTAATTGAACCAACCTCTATGTGCCTCTTCCAACCCCATCTTCACCACGGAATTGTCTTTCTGATGAGCCACTCCGGATTCCACAAAGCTTCAGGCTCGAATTCTTCAGAATCACAACTGAAGAATAACTCTCTCTTTTGTGTATACAAACAAACCTTTGATGTACTCTCTTTAGATCATGAGTTGAATACCTCAATAAAAACATCAAAGAAAAATAGCAAAAAAATCTCCAGATATAAACCTTAAAGATCAAAAAATAAGATCTGAGAGAAGTATCCATCAATCACTTAGTTTTGGGAGAAAACCAAGTATTTATAGAAAAGCCAAAGCAATCCTAATTTCAGAAGAAAACCAACTCTTTAATCAAATCTGGAAATCTGGATCGCGCGGTCCGCTCGAGCTCAACACAGCCCGCTCGAGCGGACTGACCAAAACTGCGTGCGAACAAACTGAGATGCGCTCGAGCGTAGGAGAATCCGCTCGAGCGTAAAATCACCACCCACCAGTATTTTTTGCTTGCCCTGACAAAATACTGAGACTGCTAGTTTACGCTCGAGCTTCACAAGGCTCCGCTCGAGCGTACAGAACAAAAACAAAAAAATACAATTGAATCAACACAATGTTTTGTCTCCGGATTTGTCAACATAGGTAGTACCTTCTCTGAAAAGCACAATTCGGGTTGGATTCGGCATCTAAACACTCATAGCCTCACTGAAATAAAAGTGCGAAAAAAAATACAACTGAAAGGTGTTTGTCAAACGGGGTTGCCAAGAATAAAACCTAACAGAAGAGAGATCTCATGGCTATAGTTTTGCATCAATTTTAATCTAATGGTTGAAATCTACCAATCTGTATGGTTTGGTGGTCAGTTTACTGTGCAGAAATTAAATAAATGAAATAGTGAGAAGAAATAGTGAAATTAAATAAATGAAATGGTAAATAAATCAATTTAAACATAATTTTTGCAAATTTATAGTAAAACGAAATAGTGAAAAGTAAACACATAAATGCTACGTAAAATCAAGCACGATAAAAGTATAAGATTTTAAACAAACAACAAAATATAAGTCCCATGAACAATACAAATTAGACGAAATACGCTAGCCAATGCTTTGCATAGAAAAAAAAAAATAAACAACAAATTAAGCACACCAGCCAGTGCTTGCAATATAAAAAAAAAATGCCAAATAAACAATTAAGCACACGCGCCAATGTTTCGCAATACAAAGAAAATGCCAAACAACAAATATTAGGAAGCAAAAATTAATAATTGCCAGAAAAATTATCTCTCTCTGTCATGATTTTGTGGTTGATTCTATATAGTAATTTTGCATTGATAATAGTTAATTCTTATGGATTGTATTACCCACTTTTCCTACTAACAACTAATGTATACCATAAAAAATATAAAATAAAAAAAGTAAATTATAAAAAAATATAAATTATACTACTTATGAATAACATTTTAGCAAAACTTCAATATAGAAATTTAATTAATAATTTTGCATTTTAAAATGTGAAAAAAATAAGTAAAAAACTACAATAAAAATTTATAAAAGGTCTCACTACAATGTAACCGGATAATTATAAATACCTTTTGTCTTGTCTATATAATTACAAATGCCTTTTTCAATACACATCATAAAAAATTATACTACACAGTAACTTATTTACTCCAAGGAGAAAAAAAAAAGCAAAAAAACGAAGGAGTAATTTGTTTTCATTTTGTTTTTTTTGAAAAAGTCCAAAAACAAAATTTAAAAAGCTAAATAAACTGGACTTTTTTAAGAGAGAGAGAGAAGCCTAAACATTTTAAAATAGCAGTTCAATAAAAAACCAAATTAAAAACAGTTCACAAAAAGCAAAAAAAAAAAGAAAAAGAAAAAACGGGTCATCATATAAAAAGGGTTTACTTTATAATGTTCCATTTTCCTTTCAATCAACAAATTCCCTTCAAATCCTAAATCCAAAAGCAGCCTAAAAGGGGAAAAAGATAACTGTAAAAAGGTAGAATGAGATTTAATAATTGCCAGAAAGAAAATTAATCGACACATAATTAACAACCTCCTAACATATTTTAGTTAACAACCTACTTTAGGAATGGGGAAATTGAACTCCTACAGGATAGAAGAAAAAATTATAATTTTTTTATGTCTTCAATATACATTAAAAAGGATAGAAGAAAAATTAAATACTCTCATAGAAATCTTCATCATTTTTCTCTATTGGCTAAAATGTAGAACTATTACAATACATGATTTTGTGGTTGATTCTATATAGTAACTTTGCATTGACAATAGTTAATTCTTATGGATTGTATTGCCCACTTTTCCTACTAACAACTAATGTATACCATAAAAAATATAAAATAAAAAGAGTAAATTATAAAAAAAATATAAATTATACTACTTATAAATAAAATTTTAGCAAAACTTCAATATAGAAATTTAATTAATAATTTTGCATTTTAAAATGTGAAAAAAATAAGTAAAAAACTACAATAAAAATTTATAAAAGGTCTCACCACACTGTAACTGGATAATTACAAATATTTTTTGCCTTATCTATATAGTAGGGATGACCCGTGCCTGAAGGCACTACCAACAATTTTTTTGGTGTCACGTGCTACGAAACTCAATGATAATAAATCAATTCAAAATGGTAATGTTACTCCGACTTAAAACTTTACATATAAGAAATTGAAATTGTTTCTGCACATTGAATTAGCGAAAGCATTTATAAATTTCAAATAGCAAATTTCAAAATTAAAGTCCAAAAAATGAATTATGTATTTGAATGTAGCATATGCAAAAAATCTAGAAATATTTGCTAAACTTAAAAGTCTAAATAGCAAATTTTAGATTTTTATCCACGTCAAAATGACACACCTATACACTATAGCAAATTAGAATGTGATAACCTTCAATAAAAGAATGTTATTGAATTAGTATTACAACTGGTAACCCTATCGCTTTATCAGGTTTAAATTCCTTCAAATAAAGGTCAATGAACATTATGATACAAAAGAATCATCCTAGCTAACCCAAAAATAAATAAATAAATAAATAATTTAACATGAGAGAGCCAACCAATAACACACTGGTAGAAGCAACGTAACCCAATGTCTCCAATATGGATCAATGACCTGCAACAAAATCACTCGCTTAAATTCGCTTCAAAAAACCAATAGCTATGAAAAATTACATCAAAATGCATATGAGAAATCCGAAGAAATTGCAATGAAGAATAATTGCATCAAAAGAAACTGTAACATGAAAAATCGCATCAAAATACATATGAGAAATAGGAAAATCAATAGCTATAAATTAAAAAGAATTGAACATAACTATTATGGTCAATTGAATTATGTATGCATTATTAAAGTAAACAAATGAGAATAGACAATTGTATGCATTACTAAAGTAAACAAATGAATAGAAAAGCAAATAATAGTATAGAAGGATCAATTGAGAATGCCGATAAATCATACAAACCTCCAAATAGAATTAAACTCAAATTTTGTAAGGGGAGCGAATAATTTTTTTTATTAAGACTAAGAGAGCCTTGTTATAAGGAAGAAGAATTTTTGAAGGTTGTAAAACCAAACAAAATTAAAATTTTAAACAATTAAAGCTTACCTTGTGCAAAGTAGCCATTTTTGGATGATCATGCTCCTTTGAGTTTCCATCCCTGTGATAATGCATAACTCATTTTCTAGTTGAAGCATTATGTATAACAATTAGTTGGCAACAAAAAAAGAATCAAACTTGAAATTAATATTAATGGGCAAATCTAACTAAAATTAAACCCAAGGTTAATTAAATAAAATTAACTGTATTATTTTTTTAAACAGAGATTACAACCAAATACTTGTGCTAGTTCATTTATCATTTTAATATTTTTGGAATCAAAACCATTCAGAAACACATTTAAATCTAACCCATTTTTTAAAAAAATCATTACATGAAGATAGGTTTCTAAAATCTAAACCATTTCAAAAAATTATTACATGAAATTCACAGCTTTTCCTCATCTCATACCCAACACCACATTTGCCTCAAACCAATCAATTGACCTGCCTACTAAAAAAAAAGGAAAAATAAAAAGGGATTACATACTTTTCACTTTCTAGGTAATTGATAATATGTTGTATACTCCAAATCAATCACCAAGAATTTGCCTACAACATTTAAGAGAGCACTTCACCAACATTAAGGGTTGAAAGTGAAACCACCTTCTTCTTCACTTATGAGTTACCATTATGCATAATCATCTAATTAAAAGTATAAAGTATGTTTAAACTACTTCAAGCATAAAGTAAGTTTATGCCATCACTGATTACTCCATCCAGGATGACTAACTAATAACATAGATGGTCTACTAAATTAATTTAGTTCCAAAACCAAATATTTGAAGAAAAAAAGAAACAACCAATTGGCTTAAAACTGGCTTTTATTAATCTAGACCTCTTTACTGTTTTTCTTTTACAAATTCTTTATAGACCTCATTGAACCAATCTCAGCATTGTTTATAGAGTCTTACAAAATAACTGACAAAGCTGAAAGTATAATTTTTTTGGATAAATTACAAATACACCCCTGAGGTTTGTTTAAAATACGAATTGTTCCATGTGGTTTGGAAAATTACAACCTGTTAGAATTTTTTATTTAACAAAAATAATTAAAAAAGTGAAATTTCTAACTGTTCACCTATACAATAATCAAATTATCTGAACTATTAATTGAAATAAAATTTAACATTATTAAAAATTGTTAATTAACTTGATGATTTATTAATAAAAGGACATATTTATTATGAAATTAGAAACCTTAGAGGACATAATGTAATTTCTAAAACCACAGGGGGTAATTTGTAATTTAAGTAAATCTCAAGGGGTGTGTTTGTAATTTACCCTTTTTTATATTTATTTATCACAACTTACAATCCTCACTCTGAAAATAAAATAAAAAATGAGGAGGAGAAGAAGAAGAAGAAGAAGAAGAAGAAAGAAAGAAGAAGAAAGAAAGAAGAAAAAAAAAAAAAGAAAGGAAAGAACATGCGCAACTCTTGTACAAAATAACAGATGATTTTCACCCAATAAAACTAAAATATATTGAGTTAAAGAGTCACAGGGGTAAAGGGAAGAAGAAAAAAAAATTGACTCTAACCCATCCAATCAAAATTTTAATTTATTATAATCATATTTGTTCGTCACATCTATTTTAAAATGAATATACAATTGTGCCTACAGTGTTTAAATTTTAAAATGAAAATTTTAATTGATTATAAGCACGGGTAAAGTTATAGGGTGTGGAATAAGTAGTAGGCAAAGTTATTCTATTAAATCAACCTGATCTAAATTTCTTTTCCACCCCCAAAATCACCTATATCAAGAAGAAAAATTACAATAAAAAGAAACTCCATAAATACACTTCTAGTTCCCCAAACAAAGATATAAAATTGTGAAAAAAAAAGGCTCACTTGTTTAATGGGCCGTTGTGCCATTGCTCTCCATTTCTTGAAAAATTCACTAATAGACCCACACAACACTTCCATTCATTGTATAACCTGAATTTTTCGAGTCTAATCAAAACAAAGCAAAATCAAACATAAAGGCATTCTAAACCATGCTAATTTTCAAAATTATAGTAAAAATTATCACAATGATTATCATCAAAATTGTATGAAATTCAAAAATTAAAATAAAAGGCCCAAGTTATCACCATAAAAAAATCAAGTACTCGCTCTTCGTAGTTCTGAACCTAGCTAATAATCCAAAAGATAGCAACATGTAAATGACGCCTATCTAATAAAAATTTAAGATTCTTAATTTTCACAAACATGTAAAATGAAGCCAAGTTGAACAATAGATAAGCAACAAATTATTGACAAATCCATCAATGGAAGGTAGACCAATTACCTAATCAACCATTGCGGCAAGCAAAGTCACAACAACTTTTTATGAGCTAATCAAACACTCCTTCAAGCCAAGGCATATGTACCTGAAACAAAAGGAAGAATAGAAAATATAAGCAACCAAGCTCCATTGTCCAAAATCAACTCCTTAAAAATTGCCAATTGTTTGTTATGACACCAGATACGTAGGGATTAAGAATAACCTCTCAAGAGAATTCATAATCTCATAATAGAAGACAGAGAAGTTGGATACCAGCAAGATAATCTCATAAGAATAATCTCTTTTCTTTCCTGGTCAGTCTTAAACTCAGCAAGATACCAGTAGTAGTCACCTTTCCTGAATTAATGAGAAACAGAGAATATAAACTTACTTCCAAAGAAATGACACAGATAAACTTCTTTCCAAAGAAATGGCACCAGATAAGTAGGAATTAAGAATAACCTCTCAAAGGAATTCATAATCTCATAATAGAAGACAGAGAAGTTGAGAGCAAGGCCAAGACGAATTGGGTGTGTTGAAGGGAGATCTGTATTTGCAATAGTAGAAACAGCCTTAAAAAAGAAAAAGAAAAAAAAAAACAGCATCAAGAAGACACATCAAGTGAAGGTTAAAAACAAAACTATGTCAATATGCAGCAACTCACTATGCATATCTCTAGTATAGGATGTCAAGACAATTGATGAACATGCCTCATAACCCTTCAGTGATTGTTCAACAACCTCTTTTCTTTCCTGGTCAGTCTTAAACTCAGCAAGATACCGGTAGTAGTCACCTTTCCTGAATTAATCAGAACACAGAGAAGATAAACTTACTTCCAATTTGGAAAGGAAAGAAAAATTTGAGAAAAATAAAAAGTCACATTCAAGGTAGGCCCCAAACCAAATTGTATTAGTATTAGATGTATCAACTGATAAAACCAAACGACACTAACTAATGTACTTCAAAAAAACAAAAATAAAAGAAGCACACCAACTAATAAGAAAAAAAAAAATCTAATCAACAACCAACATAAACAATTATTACAAAACCAACTATAATTTGACAACAAATTGAATTCATCTTGGTAATGAAAAAAAGAAAAGAAGCAGAGAATAAGATTCTAAGCTAGTTTCCATATTAAAAAGTAACAAAGACTAACAATTAATGGTGTTCTACACAAAATTGGAAACCAATATGATGAATGTAGACAAACCAATATGATTAGTGGTGTTCATATACTATCACCACAACCATATATGTATTAAGCATACTACACTGCAAGTAGACAAACCAATTTTCTAATCATTAAACCCATACCTACTATTTTCAATGTGTTTGATGGAGGTTAGTTTAGTATAGGATGTCAAGACAATATATATCAACAACCAATGTAAACAATTATTACAAAACCAACTTTATATGCAATAGTAGCTTTCCCTGAACTATCTGTTTCAATTTTTAATATATATCGTTAGTTTTTCAACTTAATTGGTCTCTAAGTGAGTTACTCGAAGCTTAAACTTGAGTGAAAAAGATGCAGTTATGATGGCATGACTTTAAGAACATGTGAACATTGTATTTGCCTATGCAAGCCAAATAATGTTTTATGTAATAATTGTAGGCTCTAATAATTAGTAAATGTTTTCATAGTAGCAGAAGCAAAACCAAGGAAGATCTACAGACCAAAATTTGAATCTTATGCCAAGTTTAATTCACCGTTGGAGATGGTCTTAGTAATATATTTGTTGATTTAGGTTCATTAGTAATATATTTGTTGATTTAGGTCCAGTCTATAGGGATTCAAAAAAATTTGTTGGACCCAATTAAGAAAAAAAAAAAACATTTAATCACAAATGTGGTTAGGCCTAATTTAAAAAAATGAATTAAAACACATATAAGTATAGTTGGCTCAAATAATAGTATAAATAATTTTGTTTTAATTTTTCTCTCTCATAAATTATCAGATTTTAATAGAATAAATAATTTTATCTTATTTTTTTTATCCTATATCTTTATCATATTTTAATTGAATAAAGTGTTCTTAATTTTTTTACCCTAATTTTGTTTTATTAAATTGTGTTCCATCTTTGCTATCAGTTATCAAATAGTGGATAGATTGTGTGTTTTGTAAAAAAAATTGATTATATAGTCATGTTTTGTTTTCTTGAGAGTCTACTGAATTAATGTAGTTTCAAAACCAAATATTTGAAGAAAAATCAAAACGGCCAATTGGCTTAAAACTGACTTTTGTTACTTTAGACCTCTTTACTGTTTTTTTTTAAACAAATTCTTTCTAGACCTCATTGAGCCAATCTCAGCATTGTTTAACTGGCAAAGCTGAAAGCATAATTTGTTTTATTTTTTTTTATCAAAACTTACAATTCTCACTCTGAAAGTAAAATAAAAATGAGAGGAAAAAAAAGAAAAAAAAAAAGAAAGGAAAGAATAGGCTCAGCTCTTGTAAAAAATAACAGACGGTTTTCACCCAATGAAACAAAAATATATTGAGTTAAGAGTCACAGGAGTAAAGGGAAGAAGAAGAAAAAAATTGACTCTAACCCATCCAATCAAAAATTTAATTTATTATAACCACATTTTTTTGTTACATCTATTTTAAAATGAATATACAATTGTGCCTACAGTGTCTAAGTTTTAAAATTAAAATTTTAATTGATTATAAGCACTGGTAGAGTTATAGGGTGTGTAAAAAGTAAGAGGCAAAGTTATTCTGTTGAATCAATATAATCTAAATTTCTCTTCCACCCCCAAAATCACCTATCAAAAAGAAAAATTCCAATAAAAAGAAACTCAATAAATAAACTTCTAAAATTGTGGGAAAAGAAAAGGCTCACTTGTTAAATGGGTCGTTGTGCCATTGCTCTCCATTTCTTGAAACATTCACTAATAGACCCACACAACACTTCCATTAATTGTCTAACTTGAATTTTTCAAGTTTAATCAAAACAAACTAAAACATCTTGTTTTTGAAAAACAATAAAATCAAACATAAAGGCATTGTAAACAATGCTAATTTTTAAAATTACAGTAAAATTATCACAATGATTATTATCAAAATAGTATGAAATTCAAAAATTAAAATAGAAGACCCAAATTATTAGCATAAAAAAATCAAGTACTCGCTCTTCTTGGTTCTTGCTTCTCTACCGTCTCTGAACAAAAAACATAAACTGCATGTAGCTAATAATCCAAAAGATAGCCAACATATAAAATGAAGCCTAGCTAGTAAAAATTTAAGATACTTAATTTTAACATGTAAAATAAAGCCAAGTTAAACAATAGATAAACAACAAATTATTGACAAATCCATTAATGGAAGGCAGACCAATTACCTAATCAACCATTGTAGCAAACAAAGCCATAACAACTTTTTATGAGCTAATCAAACACACCTTCAAGCCAAGGTTAAAAAATTATTTACTATTAATCATGGTTAAGGTGGCAAACCCATAGGACTTCTAAATGAGTTAATGGTCATAATAGAACATACAATAGATCCTATGTTTGAATCTTATAGTCTGTCAGATAATTCCAATACTCATACTTAAGGACAAAATTAAGGGAAGCGTATATATATCTATATATATATATCCTTTTTATAGTTGGTTAAGTCTGTTTGCTACTGCCTTACTTTTAGAAGCATTTTTTTTGAAAGGAATTACCTTTCATAATCATGTAAGTAAACCATCAAAGAAACAAACAGAGAGATAAAGCAAATTTACATACATTAATAACCATATGAAAACACAAATTTGTATCACATGCATGGAATTAGGTAGATGATTGAATCAAATTATCAACTAAGCAATGAAATGCACTGTTATCAACTAAGCAATGAATTAGTAGCGGAATTCACCAAATTATAGAAAGGAAATACAAATCGTAATCAGAAAATTTTAACTAATTCAGAAAAGACAAAAATCGAGGAAATCTCGATATCATAACAATAGAGAGTTGAGTGAGTATACACATACTGACATGAATATTATTTCAAATAAAAGCTTAAATTTAAACCATGAACAGTGACCAACCTCAAGAAAAATTAGCGCAAAGTTTGAAGTTTTCGGATTGAATTTCCTGATTTGGAGCCGCAAAAGGTCCCAAAAGGTCTAGACCTTTCACACACTCACTCACACACACACACACACAGTATTGATGGTTTTCTCTCTCTAGAAGTTGAACCAACCAACCAACTCTTGGCAGAGAGAGAGAGAGTGGTTTTTTTTTGTCTAGCTTGGTTCACAGCTTTTGTTGCTTTATATATACAGAGACTCTGTCAAGAAATGTGAAGCTCTTCTCCTTGAAAAAAAAAATTATTGGGATGATTCCCATTTCTCCACAAATTCAAACCGAAAACAAAAATATGAGAGAGGATACCATCAACTGGATTTGTTGTGTGTAAATTCCATTGAAATATTTTATCAAACACTTAATAAGCAAGGAATATAGAATGGTTAATGGGTAACTCAATAGAATGGTTAATGGCACAACAACCATTCAATAGAGTAACTCAATACAATAGTTGCACAAATTCCTACTAAAGAAAAATCAATACAATATAGAATGGTTTTGTGTGTATATATTATCTATATAAGAAAAATCAACAAAACCCATAAAAGTGTACCCAAAATTAAAGAAAAACAATACTCACAGTTTGATTCTCCACTAATGATCAATTGATAATCTCTGTGGCTTCAAAGAAAAAAAACAAAAAAAAAAACTATAATCAATATATATACACACAAAAAAAACCTTACTAATCTGGCTGCTAATCACCCATAATGAGAGAGAAAAACTGACTCAAGGTTGGTTTCATTGAAAACAAAGGGCTGGAATGTGAACGGCCAAAAGATTTTGGAGAACCTCACCGATTTGTTGCCGCGATGTCGCCGATTAGCATATATATATAGTCGGTCAGACAATTCCAATACTCATACTTAAGGACAAAATTAAGGGAAGCATATATAGTTGGTTAAGTCTGTTTGCTACTGCCTTACTTTTAGAAGCATTTTTTTTGAAAGGAATTACCTTTCATAATCATGTAAGTAAACCATCAAAGAAACAAACAGAGAGATAAAGCAAATTTACATACATTAATAACCATATGAAAACACAAATTTGTATCACATGCATGGAATTAGGTAGATGATTGAATCAAATTATCAACTAAGCAATGAAATGCACTATTATCAACTAAGCAATGAATTAGTAGTGGAATTCACCAAATTATAGAAAGGAAATACGAATCGTAATCAGAAAATTTTAACTAATTCAGAAAAGACAAAAATCGAGGAAATCTCGATATCATAATAATAGAGAGTTGAGTGAGTATACACATATTGACATGAATATTATTTCAAATAAAAGCTTAAATTTAAACCATGAGCAGTGACCAACCTCAAGAAAAATTAGCGCAAAGTTTGAAGTTTTCGGATTGAAACAAAAAAAAAAAAAAAAAGCAAAAACAAAAATAGAAAGAGCAAAATAATGGGTTGTGCTCCAACCAGTAACAAAACTTTAAGATGACTCAAACATTAACCTCTTACAAAAAGCATCCTTGGAACTCTGAAGACAATGTAAGAGACCCAATCAAAATTATTAGTAAAAGACAATAATTCGGGACTCAATTAGAATATCAGAAATACAATCAATCAATCAATACTTACAAATTTATTGAACTTTTCAACTCAACACCAAGCATTGATAAAGCAACCACAAATCTGTAAAATAGATCCTTCCAAAGAACCCTAAAATGGAAGAGAGGGAGAGTAAAGAGAGATAGAGAGAGGAGTGTGGGCTCCCTCTTCACATGACATTCTTCACATTATTAGAGTTACATTAGAGCTTTCAAATTAAAGCTCCCCAACATTATTTATAAAAAAAATCAAAACATTACATCAATGAGTGGAGCACACCCATTAGAGCTCTTGATTTAGAACTCTCAAACATTTTTTTATATATTGGAACCCCTTGATTGTCGCTGGCTGAGTGGCTGTTTAAACAGCCAAGTATTAAACAGCCAAGCCTTCATCCCTAATATTATTCTAACAATTAAATTGAAACATCATATGATAAAATAAAATTGTAAAAATAAATGATTATTGCTCTATAAAATCTAAGCATTATTTGGCATAAGCTAAATAAGTGTATTTATTTGGGTCACATTATTTTATTATTTTTTTGTACATCTTTTCATAAAAAGTCAAAAAATATATTGTCAAAATTAGAAAGAAAAAAAAATCAAATTAAAACCTAACCCAAAAATATTATATCATGTTTTTGTATATATTAAATTATATTTATTATTTTATTTGTTAACACAATATTTGTATAATCTCTAATATTATTCTAACAATTAAATTGAAACATCATCATATGATAAAATAAAACTAGTGTATGCCCGTGCCTAAAGGCACGGTGTAAATAATATTAAGATTAAAATGCAATAAATAATATTAAGATTAAAGTGCATCAAAACGTCTATTTCTCTAACCCCGGTAAAAAACAATGGTCACCACCACAGACATCAATTTCATATGGTACAGTCAAAATTTCACAGGTCATGTATCTCACCAACTTAAGGTATGACTCTACAAACCCATATCAAGTAACCTGCCCTCATTTCATTTCCAACAGTTGGAGCCTTGGGATGATTGTTTGGTAATCGATATTCATGCATAATCCAGTTGGTTTTTTCGCCTTTGGGAGGTATTCGTTTGTAGAATACTAATGCGGTTCTAAAACCAACATCGGCACCCATAAATCTCAGAGTCTTATTAGTACCGGTAACCTTCCAGTATCCATTATCTGCAGCTCGATTTGGCTGCTTCCCATTCTTATACTTGCGATCTCTTGGTGTAAAGAAATACCATTCCTTCTCTTCATATGGCTTGTAATTTTCTGTTAATTAAGACCAGACATAATATAAATAAAACTCATTGAACATGTTAGACTATTCGCTGGCCCTCATTCCTTAAAACTTCATCGAATGTTAGAATATACAATTCATAAACCAAAGAATGAATATGCATACATCAAAGGAAGAAATAAAAAGAAATCAAAATGAGTAACATTACATATGATTCCAAAATTTCAATATGAGTAACAAAACTAATGCAATATTGGGACAATCAAATCTGGAAGAACCCATTAGGTATATCATAGCAGCCAACATCAATTTAAACCATAGAGACAAACCCGATAGAGAGAACGCAAAACAGCCCAAGAAATCGCGAGAAAGTGACAGAAAATAGTAGAAAAATAGGAGGTTGTTAAAGTGGCGGAGACGGTTCATGGAAACCTTGATCCTTACATTTTCACAAATAAAAACCATGCCTGTGATCAAATGTCCTCAGACAATATAACAGGAAAACAAACTGATTGTCTACTTAAAAAACTACATATCTATCCAAACAGCATTGTTTGTTACCTAAAAAGAATTACCATACCTATGTAATGTATAAAATTGAAATAAAAATTGCATAAATAAATTCTGGCCGAAATCAACCAGAAAATTAAGAACAGTCCACTTTTTGAAAACTAAGTCCCGTGCGGATTAAGAACCAGAACTCAGAACCTTCACATGTCTCAGATCTCCTTACATTTTCACAAATAAAAAACATGCCTGTGATCAAATGTCCTAAGACAATATAACAGGAAAACAAACTGATTGTCTACTTAAAAAACTACATATCTATCCAAACAGCATTGTTTGTTACCTAAAAAGAATTACCATACCTATGTAATGTATAAAATTGAAATAAAAATTGCATAAATAAATTCTGGCCGAAATCAACCAGAAAATTAAGAACAGTCCACTTTTTGAAAACTAAGTCCCGTGCGGATTAAGAACCAGAACTCAGAACCTTCACATGTCTCAGATCTCCTTACATTTTCACAAATAAAAACCATGCCTGTGATCAAATGTCCTAAGACAATATAACAGGAAAACAAACTGATTGTCTACTTAAAAAACTACATATCTATCCAAACAGCATTGTTTGTTACCTAAAAAGAATTACCATACCTATGTAATGTATAAAATTGAAATAAAAATTGCATAAATAAATTCTGGCCGAAATCAACCAGAAAATTAAGAACAGTCCACTTTTTGAAAACTAAGTCCCGTGCGGATTAAGAACCAGAACTCAGAACCTTCACATGTCTCAGATCTCCTTACATTTTCACAAATAAAAACCATGCCTGTGATCAAATGTCCTAAGACAATATAACAGGAAAACAAACTGATTGTCTACTTAAAAAACTACATATCTATCCAAACAGCATTGTTTGTTACCTAAAAAGAATTACCATACCTATGTAATGTATAAAATTGAAATAAAAATTGCATAAATAAATTCTGGCCGAAATCAACCAGAAAATTAAGAACAGTCCACTTTTTGAAAACTAAGTCCCGTGCGGATTAAGAACCAGAACTCAGAACCTTCACATGTCTCAGATCTCCTTACATTTTCACAAATAAAAACCATGCCTGTGATCAAATGTCCTAAGACAATATAACAGGAAAACAAACTGATTGTCTACTTAAAAACTACAAATCTATCCAAACAGCATTTTTGTTACCTAAAAAGAATTACCATACCTATGTAATGTATAAAATTGAAATAAAAATTGCATAAATAAATT